CTCTGAATTTCCATCCTAATTGTAGTCTATTTAGGATACCACAAAAGATATTGTGTACCCCCTAAAAATGCAGCAGATTTTCAGAAATTCTATAGCATTCTGTGAGCTGATCATACCCAGTATGTATTACTATTATACATGCATTATTATGAATCTATCATACCTAGGGAATTTAAAACCAAATATTATTCTTCATACAATGATAAAATAAAGATATTTTTCTCAATAAAGGAGGACTGTACTGCTGTAGCACTTGAGCAAAAGCCGTAGCAGTATACCTGTGTGTGTTTAATGGTTGACTATTTTATAACTTTAGTATTACATTTCTTTCAGATACACCTGGCACTGTACATATGATAATCTTTATGCCAATACCAGTACATCCAGAAACAATGGAAATCAGTTTCAAGTCAGAATTATACAGTTCTGTATTCTGGAACAGTAAACAGCTTGGCATGTTGCATTATAATGAAGAGTTTAATACAATGAAATACTCAAGAAAGGAATAGTATTGTTGGAGAAGTGGCATTGCTCATTAGTTATGATAAAATGTAGTTAGGTTAAAGAATCAAGAATCACACCTGGCCTGATTAATAACAACGTCCTGCTTGAATAAGTGTAATATTATTTATACTTTCATGCTTGTATTGCTTGATATATGTTGATGTGTAGAATGACACATTATTGAAATCAATAAAGGGTTTTCAGAAATTGCAATTTATTTTATGGTACCACTGGGAGGTTGTGCAGGGCCCAGAGTAAAACTTTTCCAGGGGAACCATATGACATCATTAAGTTTTCCCAGGGGTCCCTGAAGAAATCGGGATTCGGGAGAAGAGGTGCTTTACAATATATTACACTTTACTGCATATTATCTGGCACTGACACAACTCTTTGTGCTTTGGAGGCCCCTTTTGAACTGGGCTTTTGCCTGCATCCCTACTTTTGGCAGTCCTGAAATTGTTAAAGATGTATGAAGTTATACGATAGTTTACTAATAAACCTAAAATTTGGTTTTAGTAGTCATATTCTGAAAAAGTAAAGTTGTTTTTGTTGAGCATTGGACTTCAAATACAATTGTTAATTGTTGCACACTCAGTTGTCCATTACAAGAATGAACATCTGATATTTATATATAGTACCTGAAAAAAAAACAAGCAGAAATTTGATGTTTCGAGTGAAGGCCCTTTATTAAGAGTTAGTAGCCAAGGTCGAGTTTCTGCTTGTTTTATTTTCAGGTAGTATTACTAATTTACTATATAACCACTCAGCACAGCAAAACTGTGGAATAGTTGACAATCATTTATTTACCAGTTTTAGTGGAACCATTGTAAACATTGTGTAGACGGTTTCATATTATTACATACCATATGTGGTACATACTGCTATTGTTAAAGACGATGTAAAGTCTGTTCTGCACATGCATTCTGCAGGCCTACATTCCAATGATCGGGAACCGACCATTGGAATGTTATTAATATTTCGCACCTTCCAAACTTTCTAGAATTGAATCTCTGGTCTGTATTCATTTACAAACATAGCAAACCAGAAGAATTAAAATTCAGCATAATATATATGATATATATCTAATATAGCACTGGGTTCAGAATGTAAACAAAGGGTTTGTTTACATAATTACATACTTTACATGGCCTTTAATGAAACCTTTTTTGGCTACTAACACCAATGTTTCTGACAGTGTTGTACAGGTAATACTGTAAACAGAAACAATATATTATATCATCAAACAATTCTATCAAACAAGTTGCAAAAGAATTCAAATGCTGTTTCAGCTGTTTAATTGTCGCATTCAAACCATGATGATTCATACATGTACAGTTCAATTAAAAAATCCCAAATCTTGTATAAACACAGTCCTAGCATACGTGTACGCTTGTAAGTCTTGTACGCTTGAATTTCTTTTCAATAATAACACTCCAATATAGTAGATCAAGGATATATGCCATCATTCCCATCAATATACTCACTCAGAGAGTCAGAGTGAACCAAGAGTATGAATTATTACCATAACGAAGTCTGTTATTTTGCCCAAATGAATTAAAGTATGCAAAAATCAACTACTTAATCCCTTCACCACTATTTCGGACGAAAAGCAACAAAAAATTCGTCGAAATAAGCACATTTTCAGGCAAAATATTAGCAAATATATCGTATTCACTCATATTGGCCGCGCATGTGAACGCCACAGGGGGTATGGGTCCAATAGCTTATGGATCGACCAATCAGGATCGTTTTTCAATCCCGTGTGGCCAGAGCCACTCAACGATGGCTCTGGGTACGAGATTGCTGAGCGCGAAGAACGTGTTCCTCCGACCCAGGCTTTTGCAGTGAATTTGACTTGCGCGACTTTTTTTTCAAAAATGGCAAAATTTGAGTGTTTGAGCCGTTGTATCTCAGAAACTAGAAGTTTAAATCAAAATCTAATCTAGAACTTCTATTGTAACTTTTTACGCTCTATCCGAATCATCAAAAACCCATTTTGGGTTTATAGGCACTTTAAAACTTACGTTCTAAATAGGGGGAGTGTGTCGGGAAAAAGGTTGACATTAATAATTAGTAGTTAAATTTAGAGAAGAGGTGCTGCCATATATGGAATTGTTTGACAGGCATGAGATAAAAGGAATGCTGTTAATGTTGTTATTGCATGGGGAATATATGTAACTGAGAGCGATTTGGGAAGGGATTATAATACAAAACACAAGTGATAAACGCGTAATTTTGCTCTTATTGTGGGGATCGAACGAAAATCTACCACATTGATAAAAAAATGTGTCGTCATCGTCCGACTGAAAAAAATCGCTAATCGTTATCGTCAAACAATAATTTTATCGTTTTCGTTGTAGTGTGCACACCAACATAATTTTTTTACCAATCGCGTGTTTACAAGTTATCGTATCGTATCGTTGTGTGGTGTGAACTGAAAATCGCCCAGCAAAAAACTACCAAAACCATGAAAAAAATATTCCAAAAAATTGTTTATTTCCGACCTATCATCTACCCTAATTTTTTCGCGATATGAAACCAGAACCACAGTTTTTTTAGGCCCAGTGAGGAAAACTACACTGTATGTAGCTGAGGTCAGGCTGTTAGTACATGCACTCGGTAAATCCACTGTAAATGAGCGATGGCATTCCAGTCACAACGTCGACGCTTTGAAAACTGTTATATTATGTTGTACAAATACCATAATTAAAGATTCGTTTGTACAAATTGCCCATACATTTTTTGCTTTTGGACCAGTAAACTATACGTAGGTATAAAAACGCATGCGGACTCGGAAGCAGTATTAGGTACGTCTTGACAGCTCTTAAGAGGCTGTCTCTCTAAGAACCGACCAACGACTCTCGCCTCATAAAATGAAATTCTTCGTTACTTTCACAATGAAATGTATTCACCCCAAGAACAAACAAACACTATTTGGAATTTTGAAATTTTATTAATTTTTAAAATTTCAGCGACTTTTCGGCCCGCGCCGTCGGGCAGAAAATCCTCTGTCTAAATCAGGAATAAAAATTAGCCGAATTCAAATACATATAATTTTAAAAGTATTCAACCAAATTTTATGATTTTTTGACCCACCAACGTGAAAATTATTCTACTTTGAAACTTGCCTTGTTTTATGATACTTTTACAGAAAGATTATGGCAAACTTTAGCGATAACAAGCACCGTGTGTAAATACGGCTTTGTACGCATATCAAATTCGACTTTAAATTTCTCAAAAGTGGCACCTAACTGGATTCAGTGACTAATATGGTTAAAAAAATGGAAGTTTGAAGTACCCATATCCACAATAAAACTTGTTACTGACCGCGATTTGAAGACTCGACAGCCTCTGAAATTTGATACAATTTGGCTATTTTGTTTAGCTTCAATTATAGCGGAGTTGAGACGTCAGAGCTTCCAGTCACTTGTAAAATGCGCTCTTGTTCCGTTTCTTTACACAAGCCTTTAAATCATCGTAGTTAAGCGATTTTTCTGTGCTCATGAACATCACAAGTGGGTTTAATTCAAAAAGATTTCTATCGATGCAGCAAGGTATTATCAAACATGGTACGCTTTCGTATTAAAATTAGCTACTCGGGGAAAACCCGGAAATTATTGTCAAATTGACAATGCTGATATTTATTAATCTAAACTCTGTATGTCTATTCTGCACGATTGGGAATGAATTTAAGAGGTTATCTCTCTAAGAACCGACCAATGGCTCTCGGCTCAAAAAATGAAAGTCTTCGTTACTTTCACAATGTCTTTTATGATTTTTTCGCCCACGCACGTGAAAGTTATTCTACTTTGAAACTTACCTGGTTTTATCATGCTTTTACAAAACTATTATGGCAAACTTTAGCGATAACAAGCACCAAGTCCAAATACGGCCTTGTACACATATCAAATTCGACTTTAAATTTCTCAAAAGTGGCTCCTAACTGGATTCAGTGACTAATATGGTTGAAAAAAGGGAAGTTTGAAGTACCAATATCCACAATAAAACTTGTTACCAACCGCGATTTGAAGACTCCCAGAGCCTCTGAAATTTGTTACCTTCAATTATCGCGGAGTTGAGACGCCAGAGCTTCCAGTCATTTGTAAAATGCGCCGTCGTTCCGGGTTTTTTTCTTCACACAAGCCGTTAAGCGATTTTTCCGTGTTCATGAACATCAGAAGTTGTTTTAATTCGAAAAGATTTGGCTCGATGCAGCGAGGTAAACGTTACAGCGAGGTAAGGGAAGCCTCACATATCGATTTTTTCCACGAGAAACGTCATATGTTCGTTTGGGGGTGGGGGGGTTGGCAGCTGTGACGTTTCTCTGTAAACATCATGGAAAAATTCGATAGTTGTTATCTTTGCAGAATATAAAAAAGAAAACAATTTGATACAAACAGCAGTCTATATATTCGTAATACCATACCTGTATACCTATACATTTATAACATTGAAAACACTCAAATTTCAAGACAAACGCGCTAAAATTATCAATATTTCATGCAAAAAAAGTTGTTTTGAGAAACGTTGGAAATTTTGAAGTTCACTGATATATATTAATAAGAAAAGAGTATGTCAGCAGAAGATGACATATTCCTCGCGGAAGCATCGCCAATAGCCGACCTCACCGAAAAAAAATAGTAGAAAATTACCTTATGTGTACTCATAGTGTACTGTAAGAACAAAATATCGATAACTATGTGTGACGTTTCCAAGGGGGGGTGAGGGGGTCTCCCGAGAAACGAACATATGACGTTTCTAATGGACAAAATCGATATGTGAGGCTACCCTAAGCGAGGTAAAATAGAGTCATTGCTAATTTTGGCACTCCCGTCATAAACAGTCTAATCGTGCAACAATTACTGCTATTTATTAGCAGAAAACCAGAACCATGGCGTATTGTCTTGTTTCTATAGCTTCTCTTCCGTGTAATGCACAGCAATTCCATTAGTATATATTTGACAATTTCGATTCCCCACTATATCTTCACATGATACTATACTTTATTGGGGTAATTTACGCATTAATTAGCATTCCCCTTTTTGAATACATCGTGAACAGTTTCTACCATTATTCTGGTCGACGTTTCATATAAGAGTCCCCACATGCCCTGGCCTACCCACACCCCCAGTACGACCCTACCCCAACCTCGCGTTTTTGTGACGTCATTTGAAAACTTTTGTATGAAAATAAACTTCACCCTTTATTAGCTCTCCTTAAACAATTCCAGGTGAAGTTGATATAAAGGTCCTCAAATGACATCACAATAGAGGTGGGGTGGGTGTAGGGTAGGGGTCAGGATAGAGTTGGGGTCATTTGGAGACTATTCCATATATGACTCTTCTATTAAATTTCAGCCAAGCCCTGGTTGAAACACTAATCAAAACCCTTATTCGAACTATAATCCAAATCCAATTCAATTGGCATGCACGATTGCAACTGAATCTTTTTGAATAATCAGTATCTATAGTAGTCTTCTAGATCAAGTCTTTTTTCCAGTTTAAATTCATTTCCAATCGTGCAGAATAGACATACAGAGTTTAGATCACAGAATAAGGGTTTAGATTAATAAATATCAGCATTGACAATTTGACAATAATTTCCGGGTTTTCCCCGCGTAGCTAATTTTAATACAAAAGCGTACAACGTTTACCTCGCTGCATCGATCGAAATCTTTTTTAATTAAATCCACTTGTGATGTTCATGAACACAGAAAAATCGCTTAACTACGATGATTTAAAGGCTTGTGTAAAAATACGGAACAACAGCGCATTTTACAAGTGACTGGAAGTTCTGACGTCTCAACTCCGC